CCCTTTCTACTAATTTGCCCAGATAGGGCAAATTGTATACCGGCCGGGTCCAAAGATGTTTTTTTAGGAGAGGGCGGACCATCGCTTCCTTGAGAGCCCCTAAGAATTGGCCCTCAGATAGGGATTTGCTGATAATGTCCCTAAGGGTGCCTCGCAACCCCTCGCGGCCAGCTTTAATTAGCCAGGAGGGGCATGAATCAAGGCTGTATGTGGTTGGACGTACCATTAAGATCAATCTGTCGACTTCCTCTAGGCTGAGAGGGCTGAAACAATCCAGAATGGGACCAGAAGATGCGCATGGGGTCTCGAGTTCGCATACTGTCTCAAGTGTGGCCGGGAGGTCGCGGCGGAGCAGCAAGACTTTATCTGCAAAATAGCTCGCAAAAGCCTCACAGCTTATATCCAATTCCCTGACATTTCGACTGCTCTGAGGCAGGGTGGTTAGAGACTGAATCATTCTATACAATTGTGCCGGGCGTGAGCTTGCAGACGCAATCATGGCTGTGTAGAACTCCTTCTTTGCAGCCTTGGTTGCCATCTCATCCGACTTCAGAAACGTTTGATAGGATGCTCTTGATGCTTCATCACGAACCCGCCGCCACTGTCTCTCTAGCTGTCTGAGCCTTCGCTTCATCAGCCTCAGCTCCTGGGTATACCAAGGAGCTAGCTTTGTGCGAGGGCGCAGAGGGAGTCTGGGAGCGATCTCGTCAATGGCCGCCGAGAGTCGGCTATGCCAGTCCTTGACTAGCTCATCTAACGAGCCGCCAGGGGGCAATGGATCCTGGAGAGCCATCTGAAGCCGCAATGGGTCCATTAGGCTCCGCGGGCAAGCCAAAATCCGCTCACCGCCCAAACAGGGTTGGGGTGACAAGTTCACTCGGACCCTCGGGGCATGGTGGTCCAACCATGGAACTGCCGTAGCAGTAATCCGGTCCACTGTAACCCCCACCGCGAAGATCAAATCAAGCGTGTGACCAGCTCGGTGAGTGGGGGCCATTACATATTGGGAGAGTCCCAGCGCGCCATGGACGATGCCAGGTCCACCGCTCGGGAGGAGGCCGCATCGTCAGCATGGACGTTGAAATCACCCAGGACCAGCAGCCTAGGGTGTTCCTACGCCCAGCCCAACACAGCCTCCACCAGAGATGGCAGGCTGTCCACCGGTGCGTTGGGCGGACAGTACACTAGCCAGACAGCCAAACTCTCCCTGGCTTCCCACACAAAGCCAGCACACTCAGTGCCTGCGATCCTCACCACTGGGAGCGTCCTGAAGAAGTAAGCCTCCCGAATGAACAAAGCCACTCCTCCTCCCCGCCCCAAAGTCCGAGATTGGTGAAGGACCGAGAACCCAGGAGGAGCCAACTGGGAGAGAGCAACCGTCTCCCCGTCTCGTACCCAGGTCTCGGTCACACATGCCAGATCCACGTCCTGCTCCAGCAGGAAGTCCCGCAGAACTGAGATCTTATTGTTTATGGACCTGGCATTGCACAGCACCAATGTCAGAGAGGAGTTTTTTATCCTTGCCCCACTGTCTGCCACCTTTGGGATGGGACACAGGCTGGAAGGTGGCTGTGCTTCTCTATTTCTCCGCCCCCTTCCCTTCCATCTCCGCCTGGTCCCACCACAATACCGTCCCCTTCCCAAGAGCACTGGAATTCCCTGCCCAGCCATTACTACCCTAGTGATCTTCGTCGGCCGCACTCGGCTCGAGCCACAGATTCACCCGTTAAGTTTGCAGGTATTTTGGCCTATTACAGGCTGCTACTGGCTGAAGTGGCATAAAGTCCCTCTGGGAATGAGTTCCCTTTGATAAAATACACTGCGATCTTTTGAAGATAGGCTTTTAATATAATCCTTGCAGAAGAGACAACCTTCGCAGCAGGAA